GAGGTGGAGACTAAAGAAAAGACACAGATTCATTAAGAGCTAGTCTCTGTAACAATCAAACAAATTTGGAAATGAAAATTTTTGACCTACCCTGAAACTCTGTGTGCAGGTAGACCACCTTGGGGGGTGCACAAAAACACCCCATATTAGGGTYGTCAAATGCATTGTTGCCATGGAAACGGCAATTTAATTTKTGGTCCTCAGACCATCAAATTAGCCCGGAATGTTCTTTAAAAATTGAGTAAATTTAAGAAGCTCGTTCTCCGTTGTTTTTCAGGCTTTTTATTTCAAACTCGCTCCGATAGTAGAGCAACATATCTAGTTTTAGTCGGGCACTTTTGGGAATAAACAAAGGAAAATTCAAGGAAAATTCGTGGTATTGAGGAGAGACGGTTTTGACTATTTTTATGATCGCTAAAAGTAACCCATATATTTTGAGTGATATCTCCCAAAGTACAGTCTTCTGGCCACTTTTATTTTCCCTGTATTTACTAGCATTGATAATGACAATGCTTTAAAAACATTTCTGGGGACTCTTGTAAATTCACGACGGGGCCTCATGCAATTTGACTGAATTATCGTAARCACTCAAAATCGCTATGATAATGAACATCATTATAATCCGAACTTTGCTCATTTATTCCGCTTATATTGCCATAAAACACGTTTGAATCATCCCTAAATACAATTAGGAGTAACTTTTATGGATTTAAGGCTGAGTTACTTCATATATTTTTGGCCATTTTTAGACTTACCTCACGAATTCTGAAGCATGTGATCATGTGTTAAATGAGGCCTTGAAAAATGCATTTCTAACGCCAGTTTCAACTCTTGCACATTGTTTATAGTAGGAAAATCCATGTTAAGCATCCTTAAAGCTTTAGGATTTTAATTTTGTAGTTATTTGTGAGCTATAAAATAAACTGTGTTGATTACTCGACAGATATTGACAAGTGCAACACCGGAAGTTCAATTCTCAGCCGCTGACCGGAAATAGCCTACTACATACTAATACATAAAATATATGTTCGGAGCGGATTACATTATAAGAGCTCTAGGCAGTTTGTTTACTGCCTGTTTTGTTTTAAAAAAAAATCGGATATTTATTTATATTAAAACACTTGCATCACTTGCATCTTTCAACAGTTATATAACAATGACTTGCAAATCCAAGGGCTTCTACTGTCAAACACTAACACCACCATAGATTAGTTGTCTACTTGAGCGCGATTYYGAAGAATTCTGCCATAGCGTGATTTCCGAATCGTAGAGGTTGGAGGGGTCGTTTCGTCCTGACGGGCAGGTGAATCCGAGCGACATTGTCCTTGGTCTTCTTGGCTCTTTATTACATCTTGAGAGACATTTCTTACTAAATCTTGACGATCTTGATCTGTACAGTCCTTCACTGTCATGTTTCGTCGTTTTGCGGTTAAACGAGAGAAATAGGAACTTATTTGTTGCGCTGTTAGAAATTCTTCAACGCCAAACATCCTATTGCCATTTTGCGCACGCACCGTCCTCATTTCTTTTGCTACGTCTTCACCATTGAGCTTCTTGCCAGTCTCTATTCCAACACTGTATTTGGAATCAAGAAATTCTTTCTGCTTTTCTGTAAAACGTGATTTCGAAGCCRTAGACTTAAGGGCCCAGCCTTTGGGACAATCAGCCGTGATCAAATCCTCAGAAATTGAAAAGAGGTTGTTGCTGCTTCGATAGTGTGGCATACATTGCAACCTTTCTTGCAGGTTCTTTGCATAACTTAATTTCGCTCTGTCTTGAAGTGTCATTTTTTCCAAAGACCTTTTGTGCGAACCAACCTCAAGATGTCGCTCCAATGCAGAATATCTGATGAATGTTTTGGTACAGCTTTCATCTGGGCAATGGTATATTCTTCTTTGAGATGGTCCATAGCTGTCTGAACTACTTGTACTCTCGCAACTCTCAGTCAGTTTCATCCTCCTTATCGCTTTCTTCTGGCTTGTTCGCTTCTTGGCAATTCTTTGCACGCTATTTGGAAAATCATGTTTCATTCTCAAGAGGAAAGTACAAAATATGACACTATTTCACAAGATCTACCTTATTTGATCGCTGACTGAAAGACGTCGACAAACGTAAGCTGGTTGCAAATCATCACCGAACGATGCAAAGTCCGAGGCTTTTGGCACTGTAAAGTAATTTAGTTAATATGTGTTAACATTAGGTCATGATCGATATATAATATTMAKCGATTACCTTAATGGTGCTATTGAAAAATACCTGATGGGWAAGACTTCCACTTGTATTCATTGCCGCATCCGACTTTGTAGGCCCGGTAAGCCAGAAAACCCTGCTTTTTATAGGAAAAATTGTTCAAATTGCTGATCCCTTTCAGTTTGAAAGCGTCAGGACCATTGGCATTTGTTACTTGAACACTTACACCGGGAATGCCACCTCTCGACTCGATTGCTTGCTTTAACTCTACGGGAGTGGTAACTGAATTTCCTTCATTGATGTAACTCTTCACATGTGCTTTAATCTGGGCTGCTTTTCGATCACATGCTCCTTTACCCCCCTGGGGGTCACTGAAGTCAATATCAGAGATGAAAATTCCACTTCTTTCTGAAATCATTTTGGCTGAAAGAATTGTCATGCCTGAATGATAACAACCGCCATTATCCTGACGGAAGAATGCGCGTGCAATTTGAGGGTACTGTTTCTTGAGAGTACGGAGGACATGCTCCATGATTA